CGGCGCTGGCAGCAGCCGCTGTCCGTGGGCGAACAGGTGCCCGAGCTCGACCTGGTCACGTACGCGGAGCGGAAGTACTACGTGCCGGGCCTGGCGAAGCCGCCGCTATTCCCACCCTGGGACCGCGGCTGGCACGACCCGTACCACCGGCCCCGCCGCGACCCGCTCCTCCTGCCGCTGCGCAAGGACCGCGTCTGCTACATCTGTCACCAGCTCGTCAAGATGGCGGAAGGTGCCGCGGGGGGAGGGGCGCCTTGCAGGGGGGCCATGGCCTGATGCAGTCCAGGGCGGGCGCGTGGTGAAACCCGGCACGTCCAGAGCAGCTCAGGCCCAGCGTCTGGTTGCGGGGCCACGACACCGCGCGGGGCACCCGTCGGTAGCGTGTCTCTCGCTGCCGCACGACCAGCATCAAAACGTCCTGGGAAACGAGGTCTCCGAGCGTCTCATTGGCTTTTAGCCTGCGCTCGATGCTAACGAGGCGCGTCTCCGTTTGTTTTTTTTAAGTGTAAAACAGCGCGTAAATGAAGGTAGTCAAAGTTGTGCGTAAAATTAACGTTCCCGCCCACTTGGCCGTGTTGAGGGGTCACGTGGGAATGGAAAGCTAGAACGGTGAAGCGCTTGGATGCCATAGGTAAAGATCGTTGTGATATTAACTGGTTTATGGCGCGGTTAACGCGACTGAAAGTCTTCCATAACTTGTTTTGATTTGACTCCAAGGAGTGAAACAAGCGCTGTGGCTGACGAAGACCAAGTTAATAGAAGGCTTACCGCCAAAAGTGCTCGGCATCATGGACGACCCGGCCAACCAGCTAGAGAGCCAGGACGAGAGGGTACAAAATGCCATCTTTCATGCGTGTTTCTGGGCTACCACAGAAGTTGTTCCTCGGAGAGAAACCTATTGGTAAGTAATCGGAGTGAAAGAGAGCTTTAGTTGCGCTGTCGCTTTATGGTTTTGCCTTTAGGAGCCTGTTAAAATAGACGCCTGTTAAATAAGATTTGGGGTTTTTTGGGGTTTTTTTGAACGTTACCAACAAAACCGTAAGTTAGTGTACTGATTTAACTATAACGGTGTATAATATATTGTACTGTATGTAATATTTATATAATATATTTAACTGTAAATTAGTTAACTAACTTAACTAGTAAATTAGTTTACTAGACCCTAATCCAAGCTAGGGTCTGGATGTACAAACAATTTATCTGGGGGTAAACGGCGGGGTGGGGGGAGGATGAGACTTCTCTACATATCAGCTGTTCTATGATGACCCATTCCCACCTAATAAAGAATACCATTTGGTGTAACAATTGATAGTAAGCATTATTATTGGCAACTAGGGACTGCAACTGGTTTGTCAGAAGGATTTAAGTATTTAATCTGCATTAATCATTTGGAGATATTACATATTATACAGATGGGTGTTTCATAGCCTAGTTGTGTTCATGTAGTGGAAACATCTATACACTTAAGACTTTCACATCTGATTTTATACAACTAATCCTTTTTCTCATTCTGAAGCCCCGTACTTGTGGAAGACTTGTTGCATTTATGTAGGACAATGACTAGCAAGTTTCCATCGCTGTCTAAAAGGATGCTGGGTAGAAATTATAGACTGGCAGCTACGTGGGAGAGAGGTTAGTAACTTTTTTTGTGTAAAGAACATGTTTTTCTTTTTCTTCTGGTTACCTCTATTGGGTAACATATAAAACACTAGCTTTTAGGCCAAAGAATGGGAAGTAAATTTAATTTTAATTCCATTTTATTTTTTTTTCCCACTATGCCATGGGGCAAACGAAGTTGAGGATGACTAGTTCCTGTCACCCTTTTCTTGGTCATCATTTACTCTTTATGTGCAGGAAACCTACACATCTTTATATTTTAATCTCCATTTCCTGCAGTTCAGCTGTTAGTTACCATTTATTTATTTAACATTTATGAGGAACTATGCCTTGCCAAATGGGCATTCTTGCA